ATATATATATATATATATATATATATATATACACACACACACACAAACACACATATAGACCCTATCTCAAAAACAAAACAAAACAAAAGACCAAAATAAACAAGTGAGCAAACAAACAAACAAAGCTGAGCCTGTCTCATCACCTTTGGCAGATATGTCTTTTTCGGCGCCCTCCGACCTGGCAATCATCTCCTCTCCCCTCTGTCTCAGAGTCTCATACAGTGGCTGCAGCTTCTCCATGTCCACGGACACGCTCTTATTTTCACCAATCTGCTCCTTGATCTTTTCAACCTCGGCGGAGATGGACGGCGGCTGGCGCAGACGCTCGGCGATGCGCTCCAGGCTCTCGAGGATCTGGTCGATCTTGTCGTGAAACTGCGAGTGGAAACAATGGGCTGTTGTCACCTTGCACAGAAAACTTTCCCCCAACTAAAAACTGAAGACCCTTTGCCAACATTTCCATCCAGAAAGTTACATTAGGCTCGGGCATGAAGCCATACCTAAAGTCAGGACCTCCATGCATTTCCATGTGACACACTTGGGGGGAAAACACTTGAGTTTCCCAACAATAACAAGGTATTCATTAAGAAACAATCTACACTCCTTTGTAGCAATATGAATCTTAACCTGATGTTTAATTTTATCACAATTAAACTTATTTTTTTTCTTTTGATTAGCTGCACATCTGGCTGCCAGAGCTGATTATTCATTTAAGGAAACCATTTTGAAATCCTAAAATGTATGAGTGCATACACAACTCATAATTTTTGATGAGGTGGTTTGATTAGGTCCAAGAGATTTCTTGAGTTACATATTTCCTCAATTGACAAAGAAACCAGCAAATTAAAAAAAAAATAAGAATATGTCCAATGTTGTATCCCAAGTTTGTATTTAATACATGGTCAAACACACAACTGGATGTAAGGAAACAGTTAATTTCATATTTATGAAGGTGTCATGTACAATTACACAGTGTCATAAAACCCTGTTCATTTTCAACTCTGTTGTAGCTTCAAGTTGAGTGAACCAACACTGTGCAAGTTAGCTTTCATTGCCAACGGACATAGCCTAGAGTCATCTGAGAGTCTCACTTGAGAGAACTCACAGATCAGACTGCCCTGTGGGAATGTCTGTGGATGACTGTCTTCATTGGGAGTGGATGAGGGAGGGCCCAGCCCACGGTGGGTGGCACCACCCATGAGCAGGCTGTAGAAGACTGCTAGCTAAGCATGGGCCACTCAGCAGGCCACCAAGCAGTGACCCTCCATGGTTCCTGCTTCAGCTCCTGCTTGAGTTCCTGTCCTGATACCCCACAGGGATAGACTGTGACCTGAAGTACAGGATGACACAAGCCCTCTCCTCCTCTCGGCTGCTTCTGCAGCAACAGAGGGGAACCGAGAGCACGCTCGTAGTGTTACACACGTAGAAAACGCTGCCCCAATGCCCAGCGTCTAATGATAAAAATAAAAATCTTGAAAGCGGAGGACCCGCAGGTATTCGCAAGATCAACTTTCTGAAAAAAGGGTCTTTAGAAAAGCCCTGGTTCCTACTTAATATTCTTATCATTTTTATCTGGCTTATTGCTCAAGATTTCCTCTAAATGCTTTTTTATTAAGGAAAATTATATTACTAATAATCCTAACAGTTTCTTTTCTCTCCTCCATGTTAAATACTGTGTTCCACTTATGACGGACACTGAACCAAGTATCTGACCACTGTTGTAAGCAGGTTTTCTGCTCACCGAATTATTTATTTATTTATTTATTTTTTATTTTTTTGTTTTTCGAGACAGTGTTTCTCTGTATAGCCATGACTGTCCTAGAACTCACTCTGTAGACCAGGCTGGCCTCTAACTCAGAAATCCGCCTGTCTCTGCCTTCCAAGTGCTGGGATTAAAGGCGTGCGCCACCACTGCCCGCCTGAATTATTTTTTATTGTACCCTGAAGGAGGTAGAGAAACCTAGGAGTTGGTTGCAGGCAGATCCCACCTCTGAGAGAAAAGGCACCTCGCGTAAGAGTCAACCCAGTGACATCGTTTAAGAGGAAGTTTAACCAGAGGGTCCAGAAAAATGCTTTGCGTGCTTAGGTGTGGTGAAGAAACGAATTCTCCCAGTGTAGAAAGGATTACCTGGGTGGACTGAGAAATGGCCTCATCCAGTACCACAGCTCGCTTTTTGACATCTTCTTTGATCTGACTGTAGAGGGTGTCGGCTGCCACATACTTTTCTTGGATATAAATGCCTTCCTTCGGGCTCAGTTCCAGTAGCTGTGGTCCAGTCTTGTTCATCTTATCTATGTGAGGCTTGTGCTCGGCTATCAGCTCCCGAAGTTGCTGTAACGAGCCAAACAGTCTCTCAGTGCCTCAGAATCACACCTCCACATTACAGCCAGTCACACCTCCAGGGCAGCCAGCCGCCAAGAACCGCCAAACAACTGCCCTCCCCGCCTCAAGGCAGGGACCCAGGTCTCTGCCAGGAGGAGGAACCCCAACGTAAGACCTGACGACGTCCGGTCACGCATCTTTCAGGGGGACAGACAGTAACGGTACTAAAGGAAACAGTAAATGTGCATTTCACGGCAAGAGCCGCCCGTCTTCACAAGAGTATCGCATTGTCTGCAGAGAAGGAGCCGAGACATGGCCCTTAGATGCTTCATAACATATACAGAAACCACTGGGGGAGGGGATCTCAAGAACAGGAAGAACCTCGGGGGGGGGGGGGGGGGAGAAAAAAGATGATACCAGGATTTTAACAACCTCAAGATACAAAGGTGTGAGAATTGGGTGAGCGCATAGGCACTGCAGTCACACGTGTGCGCCAGTATCCGATAGACACTCATCGATATTACAGTATGTTATATTTTAGAGCCTAGTCTATATATATACGACATACGGATACTAAATATATTGATTCATTTCTATCAGTTATTACAATTACTTGTGTGTGTGGCTGCAGGTGAGGTGGTGAGATGCCCCGTGGGTGCTAAGAGCTTAAACCAGATCTGAGATCGACTGGCAAGCGCTCTTAGCTGCCAGGCCATCTCTCCCGCTCCTGGGTATTACTGTCAACTCTTAAAGGGTAAGAGATTAAACATACACCTGTAACGCTGAGCACTATTGCAAGGTGTAACATTTTCCATGAACAGTCTGTAGACGTGGCTACAACACCTTTGCCCGTACCCTTATATTATAACTGTAAGTTTGTTTTGCAAGTTCAGAGATTATGAAAATGGGGAAGTCAATTCAATCTTTAAAATTCTTTCTAGCCAATGGGCCATTTCTTGCCACTAGGTGTTTATTCTAAAAGCAGCTGTTTGAATCACCTATGACAGAGATGTTCACGATCCCACCTTATGCTAAGAGTCGTTCAGTGACCAGCCACCAGGATTTCTGAGGTGACAAAACTTCATACGGAAGGGAGATTCAGTTCCACTCCATTTTTAAGTGCTTCGCTAGCTGAATGATTTAGATAAAATTCCATAAAAATTTGACTTTGCCTTAAGCTGCTTTTATAAACTCTCTTCTGGGTAAGTATGTCAGCTACAGATAGCCTCCCATATCAATGTGTTTAAAAAAGTGACCAAGATTGACAGGAGGAGCCTGGGATGAGTCAGTGGGAGGACCATCTGCAGAGGGAGCTGCTGCAGAGGGCCTGGGTTCAATTCCCAGGACCCGAATGGCAGCTCACGACAGTCTAAAACTCCAGGCCCAGAGGATGCAACACCTACTTCCATATCTTCTAAAATACACTGACATCTCCTGGGTTGGTTCTCATGCCCTCCTGACTAGCTTCAGAATACACTGTGTACAGATCTTGGGGAATAACTAGGTTCTGAAGTCCAGAAATGTTAAGGACCCCAGGTCTTCTGAGACGCCAGTCCTCTCCCAACCACATCCTTCTAAGTTTCCACTGATGTTAACAGTTAAGCGTCTGCTAGAGTTGGGGCTTCATGGTGTCAGAGTCCCATGCGTGCTTCATATGGCGAGGTCACCGGCTTCTGCATTTCAGAGTGGAGGTGGTGATGGCCGACATCTGTCTTAGACACTGTAATTTTGTCAGAGGCAGGCCATTGTGCGTTTTCTCAGAACTCAAGGGCTTTGCATGCATGATGGCTCCTCTGTCCACGTCTACTCTGGTTTCTAATACTTTAGATGGCTCTGACCACTACATAACAGATCAAACATAGTCAACACATACGTACATGGGATGCAATTTAACATGCATAGTGAAAGTATCTCAAAAGCTCACGTCACTAGCATGTTAAAATAGTGTTCTTTTTCCGACCCAGATGGGCTGCAGTGTACACTACTCTAAGAAAGTTGGGACGGGGGTCATGTGTACAGTATGTTGACAGGTACCTAGCTTCGAGGGAGTATAGACCACACACACCACAGCATTACTGAAATGCCCGGTTTTGGTAGGGTGTGTAGCAGCACTTTAGACACCCCACTGAAGACCACTATCCCAGTCAAGGGCTTGGCCTCCCATTCTCACCCGATGCTCCTCCTGCTGTCTTCTCAGAGTCTCGTACTCCAGGGCTGGGGCAGGCAGCTGAGAGATGATTCGTTGTGTTTCCGTTAGCCACGGCCAAAGTTCCTCATAGGTCTCCCAGAACTGGCTGACCAGGGACTGTGCCCGCTCCAGCTGCAGGTGCCTCTCTGAGTTGGTCTGGCAGATGGCGTCGTACTTCTTCAGTACCTTGTCCAGCTTTTTCTAGAAAGCAACATGTGGAAACACACGATCGTTAGGTTGGTAGCTGTGGCTGAGTGGGTTTTGACCAGTTCTGCATGTATGGCACAGGGAGGGCAGATGTATGTGAATTGAATAAATATGAAGTCTGTTCAGGTGAACTGTCTCTGTGCATATGCTCATGTTAATAAAAGACAGCACTGGAATTTTTATGCACAGGCACTACGATATAAGAAGCAGAGCCCTCCAGTACTCTCCAAACTGTCCATATATAAGTTGAGCTAACCACCATTACCTATGGATGGTTTTCTACTATTACCTGTGGATGGTTTTCTATCAATCTGCAGAATATTAAAATTACATATACCTACTGCTTGTTTAGCTATTTAGCTCATTGTTTCCCTACTGGCTTCGAGTAGCTTCATACAGAATGAAGATCTATGTATTCTGGGGTTTGTTTCAGCTTAAAAGTTACAAATGTCCCAGGAGTGTATGACCCTATAGATGGCATACCTTATAACTGACATAAACCAGCATGCCATCATAACAATACTATAGCTGATATTTACTGGGTTGGTTGAATGTTCAATGTGGGTTAGTTAAGGAAACTTTAACAGTTCAAAGGCATTAATATAGCTGGTCCTATGGGGCAATGTGTTTCCATGGCTATTCTGTAACCTTAAAAGATGCCTGACTTAAATGTAACGATTCTGTTGCTTAAACAGTGGCTGCAGATCCAAAGTGTCCTTCTAGAATTCAGTGCTCGGGGATGCTCAGTGGACTGTTCATTTGGAGTTCACTGCCCAGCGTTCAGACAAGGTGATTGATACCTTCATTGACTGCTTCTCCTCTTCACTGGATGTGGTCATGATTTTATGCCCAGATGTAACAAGTTCATCAATGATATCTTTGTGTCTCAAAATATCCATGGTGAAAGCCTGGGATTTACCGAACAAAGACAAAATACAAAGAACACAGTGTGATTCACTGAAGGTGAACAAGCAAGGGAGCTGAAAATAGCAAGTTCTACTGACAGAGTCTTGGGAAGCAAAGCCACGTGGATGTGTTTTCTAGACTTGGAGCCTGGCGACATGTAACTCAGACAGCAACTGAAAATGCGTTTCTTCACCTTTTGAACCTGCAGCTGAGCAGAGGTCTGGTCTTGCTCAAGCCTGATGTCACCCAGAGACATTAATTTCTTCTGTGTTTCAGTGATCCAGGATAACTCAGCATCTGCTGCTTGGTCAAACTAAACAAAAGATAATAATTAGGTTAGCAGGTTCCTGTGGCTGGTGCCAGAAATGTTAGCTACTTGTGGGGGTCCTAAATACCCCACTTCCTAACTGGAGACTCTCAGTTTCTCTTTTCATAGCATCTTAAATAAATAAATAAATAAATAAATAAATAAATACATAAATAAATGATTAACAGGGAGAGAAGACCCCGGTCCACAAGCTCTTATGCTCTGCCGAACCGTGACATCACAGTTACAATGTAAGGATGGCGGTCGCTGTGGCTGTCTTTTCAGGTGTCCTACATTCCAAAGTTAACTGCTGGAAAAGTTGACAATAGATACCATTTTAAATACTTTTCCCCTATGACTTCATTTCTCAGATGGGCAGGGAGCGCTGTGCCATCCAAGCACACGGCTCCATGATAAAATAATGAAGCACTCTCATTTCCTTATCGTCTGGGTTTATAGCTCAATGTGTGTACACATCTGTATCTGTGTGTGAAGAATGTGCTGAAACACCTCATGCACAGCCTGTAAACACCCCCATGGAACACTGGACTTTGAACGTTCACGAGGTCATTCATAGATGTCTGAGTTTCTTTTCCTCAGTGTACCAGCAATTCACAGCCTGGCAGAGAATGTCAAAGCCCAAAGTAAACAGGAAAAATTAAAATCCAGAGTTAATACTGTTGGTGATTTAGTGACGTCCCCGCTGGAAATCCAGGTGGGAGTAGAGGAGGATAATTAGGTAGGAAAAGAGATGGGTGGGGATCAAAAATAAGTTATAAAGTAATTCTAAAGACTCTCCATGAACACAGTGTAAACACTTGAGGAAATGGAACAGACCAAGTTTCTTCATTCCAGCAGCAGTACAACTAAAAACCCTTAAGCACGACATCCAGACATGCAGCTGCAGCAGCAAGAGCAGAGCAGAGTGCCTTGGACCTTGGGTCCTGAGGATCAGCACCCTAATACGTAGTATGTTCCCTGCTATTTCTTTGAGCCTCAACTACCCGACATTAGGTACAGAACGGACAGGCGACCCTAAAACACCAACGGATGCAGACACAGCTCCGGGAAGGATCCTGTTCTTTCTAGTCAAAGAACGTGGGAAGGGACAGCCTAACAAGGCAGGGAACAGACAATACCCGCTCCAAGCCAGTCAAAGATCACCACACAAGATGGTACCCCCGCTCACTCATGTCAAGAGAGAAGACATGAAGAGCCTAGGGTTTCACCCTTGAGTCTGAGACCACGACCCTTCTGGGATGATGTTAAGCAAGGGCCTAAACTTTATTCCCACCGCCTCAAAAGAAAGAGTCATCCTACGGTGTAAATGGAGAGTGGTGTGGAGTCTGTACCTCACCCTGCCAGGTGGTAACAAGACACTTTTCCTTTGCTGCATCCTGAAGGCATCGGAACAGACATAGTGAGGAATCAGGGTTTCCCTTGTTACCCGGTGTTAAGACTACCATGGCCTCCCTCACTGCGCTATCAGGAGAGGCTGTGCAGAGAGCTGGATTGGCCAGTCTCACCCATCAAAAATGAGGCATATGTCCTAGAGCCCAAGGGGATGTGGGGTTTTATCTCCCCTGGACACACTGCCAGTTGTTGCTGCCTCACTGAAAATGGATACAGGCAGATGAGACCAAGTTTAAATCCATATAAAAAACAAGAAGAGATTCACCTGTCTGCTCCTGAAGTACTGGCATGAAAGACCTATGCCATTATGCCTGGCCAATATTGTTTTCTCTAAGGATGTACATTTTAATATTTTAGGTCCAAGAACTATGACACTAATCTGATTACTTAAAAAAAAATCTTTGGGAAACACTTGCAAACATTTCTTACTGTAACTGATCTGTGGTTAGTGATTGGGCAAGCTTCAGTGTGTGCTAAGCAATGTGAACACAACCTGTCATTTGGTCTGTATCTGTCTTACACCATTCAACGAGCTGAACACAGTCAAGTGCTCGAGAAAATCCTGCTCCCAAAGGACACAATATTTGTCTTGTTACTCAGAGAAGGCTTGGGTGCCAGCCCTGAAATGTTCAAATACATTTTCATGGAAAAAAAAATCCAGTATTTTAAAAATAGCTGAATCAACTTCACAAATAAATATACCCACTTTCCTACAACAACGAAGCATACAAATTCCTGCAGACTGTAAAACAGGCAGGCAAACACATTCCTCAGGCATGAGCGTTTCTCATAGAAATGTTCTAGGCAGGGAGAGGTCTTAGGTTGTCCTAGGTTGGGCTGGTCAGCCTTTGTGATCTTCGACTGATATCGTAAAGGAAGGGCAGAGCGTGAGGCTTTAGAACCTACAAATTTGCCTGGTGTGATTGAAGACATAGGCCACACATCTCCGGGTGGAGGTATCCTACAAAACCATATGACCCCATACAGAGTTTTCAACCCAAACCTCAGGACTTGATGTAAATAGCCACAAGGAAGCCGATAGAAGTTAAACTTTCCATTCCCAGGGCTGCCTTTGCTGCTCGCCATTTTCCACAGGGTTGTGGCTAACAGCAGAATTCTCTGAAACTTTGGAGTAGAAACTGTGTGAGCCACAGGCAGGTCAGAAACTATAATTTTTTCCCCTTTTAGTCATCTTTGGAAAAAGTTTCTACATCACCAAGAAAATTCTTTTCTTTATTAAAAAAAAAAAACAAAGACTTTTTCTTTGCTACAGAAGCATGACATCGGACAGCAGATATATACCTGTATATATCTATATACTAATTCAATATGTTCACAGATACATTGGGCTCAGTTTAGGCTTAAGACTAGTGTGAGCGGCACGCATGTATGTAGACAAAGAGCATTTAGCTTAGGAAAGGAGGCTTTCCCTGTGGCAGGGTGCTGTCTGTGACGTAATGGGGGCAGGTGGCTGTCAACCGTGTGCAGATTAGCAGAGCTCTGGTGCTCAGATGCAGCTTGGCCAAAGTCTACTGAAGCCCCCAAGTTTGTTTCAGAAGCATTGCAATTGGAGTAAGAATACAGCCTCAGATGTGTTTGTTTAGGTAAAGACCTTGGGCAGCTGAAGCGCACCTAGGCAACAAGGCACTGGTCCTACCTGCTGAGACCTCAGAATGGCGGCATCGATCTCCTCCACTTTCTGAGTGATCCTGTCGCTCACCAGTCGGTAGCGTTCATTGTCTTCTGAGACTGTCTTCTCAAGCCCTTCCCTCGCCCTCCAGGGCACCAGTTCCAACAAGGCACTGCTCACGTCATTGAGAGAATCCAGTAAGGCTTTGTTGCTCCTGACTTCATTTTTCAGCTCCTTGAGAACATACAAATGCACAGGTAAATGCTGGGGTAGGCTCTCCCTCTGTTCCATTCTCGGGGGTGGGGGTGGGGTCATTTGCTGGCTGGCAAGGCCTGGTTAGTTCCATCTGAGCTAAATGACCCTCTGTTATTTATAGCTATTTTGCAAAAACAAACCAAAACCAAACAAAAACAAAAAAACCCCAAAAGTGTTTCCAGAGAAGTAGTTTACAGTTCATTTGTCAATGTGGCAGGAGTTTATCTTTGAAATGGAAAAAAAAAATTTGCTGCTTGGAGAAACAAACTCAAATGAGCTAACATGTTATGTCATCAGCTAACAGAAGTCAAGCAAGGAGGCCTGTCACACTCCAGAGGAACACGGCCTGCCGTGAGGACATGCTGGTGTTGCAAGAGAATATAGTGGGCCCCCCAACCCTGCCCACCAACTCATGGGATCAGTGGCCGACATGTTGGAATGAATGCTCAGAGAGGCAGTGTACTTTTGGGATATTGCCGGCAAGGTCTCCCGTGATACCCATCTCTGACAGAAATGTTTTTCCAACCAAATTACATGCCTCTGAGACGGTGATCATCTTCCTTTCTCCTTTTCTCTTCTTCGTTATTCTATCTCGGGCAGGAAACTATATTCCCAGTCACCTATCTCTTAAAGTGAATGACACGCCCTGTGAGAACGGTCACCTTACTGCCTCTTTTCACCATGCTCGGCCTACCACGGCCACTGGACTTGGAACCCTCACAGACACACCCCTCCTGGGTGACAAATGTGTGGTAGATGCGCAGATGCATACTTTCTGTCTCTCCTGCACTTGGCTCGCAGCTTCTCCTTTCAGGCCCTGAGTCTCGTAGGACAGCAACTCCACCTCTACCCTGTCCAGCCAGTTACACAGCTCCTTATGTGTGGACTGCAGCTGTCCGGCGAGCTGCAGAGCATGTTCCAGTGTCTTCGCTACGTCGGCACTCAACTTGGTGATGTCTTTGTACCTGGCTTTAATGGCTTCCAACTTATCTTGAATGATTAAGACTTCATCACCTAAAATTTCAAGAAGATGCATTATTTTTTCTAGAAATGAGGGGCAGAGAGTTTCTTCAGATGCTACTGATGATACATTTGGGGAGGATGTGAAGATATTTTTCTAAAGATAATCTGACCCAAAAGATGCCCTCACATCTTTCTCAGGATTGCTAAAAGTAGAAATGTGAATAGAAAGGCCAACAGAAACTTCAGTTGTGTGTAGTGTTTTATTTCCCTTACAAAGCTTTCTGTCTTTGAAGAATGAAGGGTAAACCTGCCAGCACCCGGGCCACTGATGTCATGGCTTACCAGGCGGTTACGTCAGGAGGATATTTAACCTTCCTGTGCTTACTCATCATTACTCACTCTCACACTTCCGGGGCTCTTTATCTGCCTCTACTTCCTTTGCAGACAGACATAAATTATGCCCTAAGCTTCAGACTTCCAAATCAAAGTTCTAGAAACTTTATTGCATGCCTTTGACCACAGTGAACGATAACTGCCTGGTGCACACGCCCACACATGCTACAACAGACAAGGGTTTTCCTAGAGCCAGAAGAACTGCTAAAGTAACTTTGTTTCTCTGAGTTGCTCGAAAGCCTTTCATGTAGCTACTAGGCCATGCACTTGTCTTCTTAGTGACTCAAGCTTGGAGAAATTAAACCTGTGAACTACCTTAACAAGCATCGCTGTGGTGCAGTTTCCCTTAAAAAACAAAACACAGCTGTCTGAACCCAAGTGTTTATCAACCTTCCAGCAGGGGAAGACTTCTGTAGCGACAGCACAGGCTTCTCTGGCCAGCACCTCTGCCGAGCGCTTTATGCTATGAGTAACACGCACGGTGTACACCGAGGACTCAAGTGACATGCCATTCGAAGCCCTCATGACTAATCTCCAAGCCATTCTACAGGACGAAGTCTCAGAGCAGCCTCCAAAGTCAGAAAGGGTTTTGTTTTTCTGGCCCCATCCTTGAGACACCCTGGCAATGTTGTGGAATGCTGCCCCGCGGATAACCCGAGCCGGACGCATCTCACCTGTGGTTTGTTTGAGCAGTTCTAAGCCGTTCAGCAGTGCCTGATCTACACTCTGTTTCCTGAGGAGAATGTCTTCTTGTAGAGCCTAAAAGCACAGGTACCATTTGTGGGGAGGCAGGGGAGAGAACACTTGTTAGCCTCAGAGAAGGTTTAGTAGGGGGGCAGGTCTGCAGAAACACCACATTTTTAAATGTCCGTTACTTCTTCCCTCACTCCACCCATGTCCCATACCCTGTGCTTGTCTCCCAGTATGCACGGCACTTCTCTTTTAGAACACACCGAGGGTCTTATAAAAACTGCCTTTGTGGAGGTATTGGTTCCTTATGGGGTCCTTGAATACAACAGTAATCACACTGAATAAGCAGTGAGAAAGCCAGCGAACTGGATACATTCAATCTCAGGTCACTAAAGGTATCGTGTACACACCATGAGGAAAAGTGTACTGTGAGTTCAATGTATCACGTGAGTCATAATGGACATGAAATAATGTACAAACAATAAAAATGAATAAAATTAATGACAACTGAAATGAAGGAAAAACAAAAAGAAAAAGAAAGGAACAAAAGAAAAGAAATAAATGAAGGTACCCTGAGTTCAGCCCGCTGTCTCCACAGAGCCTCAGTGCTGTGATCCTGGACTGACAGCTTGCTCAGTTTGTCATGCACTTCGTTCAGCCAGTTCATCAGCTCAACTTCATCTTCCCCAAAAATCTTAGCATTGCACAGGGCCTGCTGGAGGAGCTCGGACCTGCTGTGACTTTTCTCTTGGATCTCAAAGTACCACACTTGCAAGGAGTCTAGCTTACTCTGCACCAAATCTTTGTCCTCCCTGGAGCTCAGGACCTTTAAGGACTGGCCAATGCTAACGGCCTGGTGTAACTGTTTGTTGTGATTGGTGATGTCATCTTCTAAGACCTAAACGAAGTTCAAGAAAGGAAGACAACGAAACAGAACAAAACTGAAAGGGGTGGACAAATGGAAAAAACGTAAACAGAACCAAAGGATGATCTTTAAAACGGATTTAGTTTCACATTTATGCATAATCTAACAAACACATGTCACCAAAACCATGAAATGAATGAAAAACAACCCGGGCCTCAAGAGCACGTGACACATCTTACTTTGTGCTGTGCAATCTGCTCCTCCAGCTTCGGGGCCTGGGTTCCTATGGGTTCGGAGTTTGCCAGCTTCTTCTCTACGGCTGTGAGCCACTCGTTCAGCGGCTCCAGGGTCTCATGAAACTCCTGAGCTACCACAGAGATACCTTCCAGTTGACGGTTCCTATACATTTGCCGAGATGAAGGTCAGTTAGGGGTGGAGAACATGTGAAAGCACCAACCTAGGTCTTCAGTGAGGCCTTCCATACTACTCAAAACATGGCTTCCCAGAAGTCATCTAAGTCTAAGCTTTAGATCATGAACATCTAAAGGGCATATTAAAATAGCTCTCACTAAATAAAACTGAACAAGGTATCCTTGTTCCTGAACATCATGGAGGGTGAAAGCCACCTCCCCTGAGAATATGCCCGTCAATCATAACCATAATCATTTTTAAAGGCAGCAACAATAACAACCGTGACAAGAAGCACTGCTAAAGGACACATTTTACGCTTCTTGGTCTTGCTATAAGCGCTTTCAACTAGGAATTTTGATCGAAGTGACAGCCACTGAAACTATGTCTAACAAGATGGTCAGAAGTGGATTTTTAAAAGCGTAAAGAACTGTGACTGCTACATTACAGAAACACAGTATCAAGTGCACTTGTCAAAAGCAACAGTTACTACTTTGTGGACTTAAATGTCAAGAATAGAAGAGCTCAGATTTATTTACAAGGTGGAGTACTTTCAGAATCAAGTGGCTGTAGTCACTGTTCCTGCAGTCCTTTTCCTCTCAGGCTTCTTGACTGTGCTGCTTCTTAGCAGGGCATCTGATTTAGCTGACAGTCCTGTGTTGAGGTCTAGCTGCTGCACTATCTTCCTGACATGTTAACTTTTTTTAAGGTAATAATATAATCTTGGAAACGAGCTTCATAGGAAGCTGTGAGGAATGACAGAACTGGCAGCAGGGACAGAAATACAATTTCCATTTTTCATTTGTTTGTTTGTGTGACAGGATCTCATTACGTAACCTTGGCTGGCCTGGGAGGCTGTGCAGATCCTGTAGCCTGTAAGTCACAGATATCCACCTGCCTCTGCCTTCCAAGTGCTGGAATTAAAGGTGTGTGCTGTCATACCTGGCTCCATATTCCAAAATATCAGCAGGCAACAGTTAAAGACCTTCCTCCACATCAGTCTACGTCTGAAGAGGTAGAAATTGCTTTACTGTCAACCTGATCACACTGCTGGCTGATTTCTCATGTAGCTACTCCTGGTCAGAGTATCATGGCAGACAAGAGGTGCTACACTGGCTGCCACTCTGTAAAAACAGAACTGGGAGCAAGAGCCCAGAAGAGCTACAGTGTAGCCCTCCTGCCTTCCTGGAGGGAGAGGACCACCAGGCCAGTTCATTCCTTTCTAACTAACTCTTCCCTTAAAACATGGCCACAGCTTCAGTCTCCAAATGTCTTCCTATTACGTGCTCCCATCATGCCCTGCATCTTTACTTCAAAGCATCACTCTTGTCTTTGTTTCTCATTGGCTTTGAGTCTGCACCTGTCTGGGGGCAGTGGTGATCGTTCTAGCTCATCCTCACAAGCTAACACCTAGCTCTGTACCTGACACAGGGTAGGTAGAGAGTGACTGTGTCCTGCACAAATGAATGAATTACCATTGAGGGAAATGTGTTCTTAATGAGCAGGGATGCTGGCTGGTGGCCACAGGACATCAGAGGAATAAGGGCCGGTACACCACAGCCCCGTGATGAAGCAGCGTGAAGGACATGGATGTGAAGGCAAGTGTTACCCCAGCCCACAGCCCTGAGTGCACTCCCTGTCTCACGGGAAGCTGGAGCGAGGCACGGTACCTTGCTTCAGCTCTGCTGAGCAGCGCTTCCCATCTGCTGTCCAAGAGGCTCAGCTGCCTTGTGAGCTTTACTCTGTCTGCAGGCTCTGCCGAAGCAGCGATTTTCTCTCCTTCTCGTTTGATCACCTCCACGGTAGACTTCCGGTCTTCCAGCAGTCTTTGCAGAAGCTTCAGACATAAAAGAAGAATGTTTAAATAAATAGAAGATAGAATACATCATATATATATATATGTATATACATACACACACACACACACATATATTTGCATGGAGAGACATGGGAAAAATGAGAAGTAGGGTTTTAAAAATAATCCGTTTGGGGCCAGTGAGTGGGTGCCTCGGGTCATGGTGGCTTGCCACCAAGCCTCTTGACCTGAGTTTGATCCCTGGGACCCACATGGTGGAAGGGGAGAAGTAGCTCCTGTAACCTGTCCTTTGACCTCCACATGCATTCCAGGGCGCACACAGGGCATATAAATAAATAAATGTCATTAAAACAAACCCTCCAAAGAAGAAACAGAAAGAGCGTTTGGTTGAGTGATTGGCCACCACAGTGCAGGATACTGAGATGTGGCTTTGACAACGGACAATCCCCCCTGATTAAGGCCACTGTAATCTTTGTGATGGATTTTGTACAAAAACACTGAGCAGAAGGTGCACGTAGGATAAGCAGACTGAACCATGGGAAAAGTACAATACCCTCATTACTTTCATAAAACAGGTCTGCCCTAAGCATCCAGCAGCGATGGACTCTGCCAAAATAACAGACTCCCATCAATCAAAACCCAGTTTCAAGAGAGGCTGGCAGGTTAAGACCGGGCCATGCCTGCAGGTCAGAAGGCTACACGGGAGGTTCCTGGCCTTCCATGGAGGAAGCACTTCAAACCCCATGAGGATGCAAACTTGAGCAGAGCTTTCAGATACCCAAAAAGAAGAGAGTGTTGGGTTCACTGGGTTCTCCAGAGCCGCCAAGAAGACTATGATTTCAGGACTTAGCAGTTAAAAAAAAGGACATTTCGTCTGAATCTAGCTGAGTGCCACACTCAGGGTCACCCTGCCCTAACTAATCAAAGCAAATCACTCCTGAGCAACTGCACACATTATTAAGTATTGTGCTCCAGCAACTGGATGCAGGAGCTCAACCTGACAGGTCTCTGCTTGCCTGCTCTGATCCTGACAGATGGCTAAGGAGTAACAATTTAATAGCTACCCAGAAGTGACATACTAGAGGAATACGTTGAGATTAAGACCATGGAGGAAGGAATAAAAGGGCATACATATTTCCAAAGGGAAAGGATCACAGATGTTCTTGACACAGTTCAGGGTATCAGATAGTAAACCATGTGAAGTCTGTAAGATACACACATGTAACGTGTGTGTGTAGGAGGACAACTTTCGAGTGTTGGTTCTTTACTATCTCCATGTAGTATCTGAGGATTGGTTGTCAGATTTGGTGACAAGCCCTTTACCCACTGATCTACCCTGCCAGCCCAAGTGAGTTACTTCTGGTGAACTAGAATAGAAAAACCTTTGGCAATTTAAGAAGACAAAGTCAATAAATGGGTTTTGTTAACTAAGCACTATTAACTATCCCTGGGAGAATAAGTCAGTTGATGTTAGCAGGTATATAATTAAGAAAGCCACACCGACGCATGGCATGGGATTTCCAGTGCATTTCCTTAACCTTCCTTTTTGCTGTCTGGTCCTGGAGTCTGAACTGGAGCACTCTGTATCCTAGGCTACTGTCCTATGACTGCACCATATCCCCAAGGCTCTTCTCCACTTTTAGATTCCACACAGGCTCCCTCTGAGTTGCCCACTAGGCTGTGTCCCCATGGGCCTAGGATCTGGGACCCTCCTACCTCCACCTGCCAGTGCCTGGGATTACAGCCTGAGCCACGAGGCCTGGCTTTATTTCTCATACCACTTTCTATTTTTTTCTTTTTTTTTCATACCACTTTCTAATTGGCCAAAGTTTTCAGAGAATTTGTAGACAGTTAATGTTTAATTCAGAATTAAAGGAAGCTGTAAGTTGTCAAAAATCTGAGGCTAATGTAGACTTTTTAAAAAAAGTTTAAACTAGCAAATAGTATATCTATTTATAGGCTACAGTGTCATACTTTAGTACATGTGTGTACTAGAAAACAATTTGATCAAATGAATTGATATAGCTAGTAGTTCCTCTTCTCACAATTGGTGTCTGTGTTGAGAACATTTAAAATCTTTTAGCAGTTTTGAAATATATGATATATAGGGATGGGCTCTATAGTTCAGTGGTAAGGCACTATTGGAACATGGCTGAATTCCTAGGTTCAATTCCAAGAAAACACACACACACACACAGAGAGAGAGAGAGAGAGACAGACAGAGACACACACACACACACAGAGAGGAGAGAGACAGAGAGAGCGAGACAGAGACACAGAGAGAGAGACAGAGAGAGAGAGAGAGAGAGAGAGAGAGAGAGAGAGAGAGAGAGAAATGTTGTTGTTGTTATTGGCTGCTGGCTAAATTAAGTCAGGACTAGAAAGATAAATTAAAACATGATAAAAGGGTTTGAAAAAAAATGGCTCAGTAAGCATACACATTTGCTCTATAGTCACGAGTCACAAGGACCTGAGTTTGAATCCCCAGGACCCACATAAAAAGTCAGACAGGATTGCAATATGCCTGCAATCCTAACATTCACCACTGGGTAGGTAGAGACAGACAGATTGGAAGGCTCCCTGCCAATGAGTCAGGCTGAAGTGGTGAGCCTCTGGTTCTGTGGGAAACCTGTTGAGAGCCTCTGGTTCCATGAGATACCCTATCTATAATCTCTGGTTCCGTGGGAGATCCTGTCTAGAGCCTCTGATTTTGTGGGAGACCTAGTCTAGGGCCTCTGGTCCCATGGAAGACCGCATTGAGAGCCTCTGGTTCTGTGGGAGACCCCGTTGAGATCCTCTGGTTCCATGGGAGACCCTGTTGAGAGCCTCTGGTTCAGTGGGAGACCCCACTGGGAGGAAAGAAGGTGAGGAGGAAAAGAGGAAGACATCTCAAGTCCTGCTCTAGCCTCTGCATGCACCCATGCATACTTACACACATTTTTGATTAAATTTTTATATGTAACAATTAATTCAATTTCAAATAGTTAACCTTCTCCCCGTGTAAAAAGTTCTACAGGCAATACCTCGCTGATATGCCACATACTATGCCTTGTCTATGTGTCATTTCAAATCACAGCTGCTCAATCACTGGAAATGTCATTCAGTGTTTCATGTCTGACCACTACACCATGACGAACCCCAGAACTGGACATGTTGTCTCAAGCAGTTCTCTGTCCATCAGCACCAGGACATGCAGCAGCACCTCCCCATGCTCGTGAACAGGGGATCCGTGTCCTTCACACTCGGCTCCACTCCGAGAGAGAACCTGCCAGTATTTACTCTACACAATTCTCGTGGCTAGATCTCATGTATTTAGGCAACAATGATATTCTTGTCCAAATGCCACCCAGCTGGTGAGGCGTTTCTTGGCTGTTCTATTTAGAGCTGTTCACAGGATCCATCTATTACAGTACTTCCTGCTCTGAGCCCTGGCTCTGTCACAGCTAGATCTCCACCATATCTCTGCTTTGAAGTCACTCTAGGTTACACATAGATTTTGTTTACTGGCTTTTCACAGCCTTCCTTTCCCAGTAGACTTTATGTTCAATGAGGGAACTCTTACTGTCTTCACTCAAAGTTGTATCTCTTGCAGCTAGACCCATACCTTGGCCAGAGAACGCAATCAGCAATTGCTGCTTGAACAACTGACAGTATTGAAAGCAGCAAGAAGGTGTTACTGTGACATCCTGTTAGCACAAACAGGGAGGCACACTTTTACTGTCATTTTAAAGATTTTACATCAAACCAAATAAAGGCATCGCTAACTTACCTTTTGCTCCTGTATCTGTGCCTTCACCACTTTGAACTCGGCTGATGGAGGCTTCTGATTGGCCACAAGCTCCTCGGTGTCTGCCATCCAGCTGAGGAGGGACTCCAGGGCATCCTGGAACCTTCCACAGTGTAGCAGGGCCTCCTGAAGCTGGGATGTACGCTGAGCCACCTATAAGGTTCCAGTTGTTTCAACTTATTTACTTGTTTCATAAAAAAAGAAAGAAAGAAAGAAAAGAAAGAGAGAGAGAAAGAAAGAAAGGAAGGAAGAAAGGAAGAAAGGAAGAAAGGAAGGGGGAAAGAAAGGAGGAAAGAATCTGCCCACCCGACACTACCTCTCGTAATTACTCCTAACTTGTCCACACTTTCCCTTGATGGTTTGTATATGCTAAGGAGTCAACAGGGACTGAGCGATTACCTTCTTATTGAGGGTCTTCCACCGCACGTTGACGCTGTCCAGGTCATGCTCCAAACCCTGAGTGCAAGTGTTTGCAGCTGCGCTCTGAATAAGGCCTTGGCCTAACCAGTTCACATCTTGCTGCTTCACCTGCAAGGGTTCGATTTCTTCTTTCTGGAAGACCTGCAGGTTGGGAGGACCATGTTGTAAGAGTTAGAGCATCTAACGTATAAAGAGTATGTGCTTATTTATTATGTAGTCAAAACTAGCAACTGTCGCTGAAAGGAAGGGGACTGTTGGTACCAAGACATCGCTTACCATTACCTTGTGAGTATAAGATATAAACTTGTGGCATTTATTTAATTACATATTCTACATACATTTAGGAAGATCACCTATAAACCCAAGATGAGTGTAGTGAAATTTCCTATCATCACGATCTAATGATGATAAAAATATGCAAAAAACCCACTGATGAGCAAATGGTAAGATGATGATGCCCCCCCATAGGTCAAGAAATTCTCATGGGGGCTCGGAAGGGTGGGTGCAGTGCGGATAGCTGGCTGCTGAAGCTTGAGACTCCGATTAGAAGTGCAGTGTTGTGTGCACTGGCAGCACAACAAAGTAGGTCAAGAGGTCAAGACCATGCCTGCCCGAGAGGCCAAAATCCAACAGCGGCAAATGGAAAAGCAGAGGCACGTGGACACAGGGCATATGGGGACTTCCAGAACTACTACAGAAGGAGGTGTAGACCCAGGGGAAGGTGTAAGGTGATACAGGGTAAGACCCATATGCACCTGGTGGACCAGAGAGGTGGGGCTAGAGCTGACCCAGAACAGTACCCCGAGAGTAAGGGTAGGCTTAGAGCCTTTGGCCTTATATATCAGCTTCACAGAGGGAAATCATACCTCACGCCTACCAGGACATAGTCCTCTCCTGAACACTGAATCACCTCCACCGAAAGAAAAGGGACTCTCATTTCAAACATAAAACAAACAAGAAATGCCCAACTCACCAACGTCAGGCTCACAAGTTGTAACGCAGAAACAAGACCGATTTAAAAGACAACCATGTGACATGTCTTTCCCCAAGATCACTAATCCAAGTATGGCTCCCAATGGAAACACCTTGGAAGAACTTGTAGTCGAAGAATTTGACAGAATCATTAGACTATGTTCAAATGACTCAGAGAGGATATGAACGTCCCCAAAAAGAACGAAAACAAAGAGCTGAATGAAAAGAAGTGAGCTTATTTCCAAAGTACGAAGATAGAATCCAGTAAGACTCAGAACTGCTTGAGAAAATTCAAATTGAAAGAATGTTAAGGGAAAAAAAAAACCCAAATCAGTGTGATGGCCCAGGGAGTGGTGCTATTAGAGGGTATGGCCCGGTTGGAGTGGGTGTGGCCTTTTGGAGTAGGTGTGGCCTTGTTGGAGTAGGTGTGGCCTTGTTGGAGTAGGCGTGTCATTGTGGGTGTGGGCTTTAATACTCTCATTCTAGCTGCCTGGAAGCCAGTATTCTGCTAGCAGCCTTTAGAAGAAGATGTAGAACTCTCAGCTCTGCCTGCACCATGCCTGCCTGGATGCTGCCATGCTCCTGCCTTGATGATCATGGACTGAACCTCTGAACCTGTAAGCCAGCCCCAATTAAATCCTGTCCTTATAAGAGTTGCCTTGGTCACAGTGTCTGTTCACAGCAGTAAAATCCTAACTAAGACAGTTAGTAATTCAGATTTAAGAATCTTAGTCGGAAGCCTTGTCAACAGAATGGAACACGTGAAAAACAAGGCAGGAGTTCCTGAAGGCGAGAGAGAGGAGAGGCATTAATCATTCAATAAAAGTCAGTGACTAAAAGAAATATGAACAGAACATGAGCAAGCTTTAGGACACCATGAAAAAGACCAAATCTCCTAGTTATAGATATACCCCGAGGAGAAAGCCCTATATTAAAGACATAGAGAAGATTGTGGAGGCAGGCCTGACGGAAATGATGGAGTCCTACACACCAGGCCCCTCACCTCTGGATCTGGACCCAGAGGTTAGCAGCACAGCACCTCTGGTTTCTCTTTGTTGACTACTATCTGGGAATCTGCTGTCAACAGTTTCCTAGTACTCTACCTTCTGTCCTACCCATCACATGGTCTCTCAGTTGCTTGTGACTTATGAAGGACGCACTACACTAGATATAGATGCACATTCCACAGAAACCACTCTGTTGCTTGTGACAGTTACAGTTCTACACCCTGGGTCTGGATAGTAATATGTACTCGAGAGTTATTTGCTGAATTGCTATCGACACAGAAAAGATACATCTGTCTTGGGTGGACGCTGTCCACTGCTTTACAGGTAACACTGATGGTAACACATCAATTTTTCCCATGGATAATACAAATATGTATAATGTGGGGCCTGAAGAATGTCAAGAGAAAAAAAAAACAATTATTTCTAACTCGGTAATGAAATTTTACACAGATATTAAGATAAAATAAAGTTTGGGACTCTGAGTCACTATACTGAAGCATACCATAAAATAAGTAATAGCTGTATAAACAGGACATATGGAAATATAACAAAGGCAGGTATATTAAAAAAGCACCACAGGAGAAAATTATAGGTTCAGTGTGAAAAGCAGCTGTGAAGGCCGCAGGAGTCAAGGAGACAACTCCCCAGACCCTGGCCCAGTGCTGAGCATGCTGGGTAGTTCTACTTTTACTGTAAGAACAAATACGTTGGCAATAGCAAACAAACGAGTCACTGTTTCCTCTGAACGTCCCCTGGTAGCAAAAAGTTCAAGCTGCCTTTTCCACTGGAAATGTATACTGACCTTCCCACGCTGGGCTGGCTATGTCTAAATAGCAACAATAAGGAATTAGCTGGTTGTAATGAGGTTGGCAAAATCCTGAGTTGCCGAGAAGAAAAGTTCAGACATTGTCATAAATTTTCAAAAAGGTGTAATTTACCAAGCATGTCAACAGAACACTGCCACAGGCAGTGACTAAAGACTTTGGCATGGCGATTCTGTTTCTTTTCTATGCAACATTCTAAGTTACCACTTCCAGGAGCTGAGTAGGAGCTTCGGGTATGCTCAACAACTTGCAAAGAAAAGACGCACAGGGTCAAGAAAATGGCCCCATTCTTAGATCTCTGGTACATTATATGATGTTTGGGGGAAAACTTTTTATTTCCCTCTCAGTTTTCAGGACAAAATCCTTACCAATATGATGTTCTAGTAAGCCATCTGCAACCCTGATCTCGACTAAATTAAGAGTTTGTGCCAGAGCAGGTCTGCATGAACCAGTGATCATTTTCCAAAATCCTTCAAAATGACTATGGCTACCAGCTAAGTTAGGACAAAATACAACAAACAAGAATGCTGTATTGTTAGGACAAAATACAACAAACAACATCAGCTGTAACATGTTTTACAGGGAGAAGGCATTTTACTAAACCTTTAAGTTGGCAGACGCTCGCTGCATGCTCAAGGAAAGGTGTGGACAGCGGGACACAGAATGAGCAGAACTCTGATACTACTGACATCCCTTATCTCTTAGTGGGATCAAATACCTATAAAGACATTTTCCCCTCACCCCCCCCCCATACGTACAGGCCCGCAGCACACAAACACAGAGAACTTTTAAAGTGAGGTTGACACTGAGGTGAAGTTTACCAGAGGAGCCAAGGGAGAGCACCAAAATAGCTGAACTTGAATCCGAGTGGGAAGAAAAAAAATTACAGGCTTGACAGGCAACCTTCACTTATCACGAGGCTGCACCCGTTACTTTCTTACCTCATCTGCGACTTTGAGGAGTTAGGGTCTACAATGCCTGAGAAAACACAAACGTTTCTGTCCTCTCTTGTGCAGGGCTCCTGTAGGCTGGGTGGGTGGAGGGCTTTTCAGCCACAACAATATAATACCATGTTTGTCTCTTTATGACTAAGCCTGTTGGTGCTTAATAAACTCAATACAACTGCCCTTATACGGCACTGTTTTAAACCACAATGTGTGCAAAAACCTAACGTGAACCTAAATTAACAGTGTGTGTGTGTGTGTGTGTGTGTGTGTGTGTGTGTGTGTGGTGGGGGGATTCTGAATGAACCTCAACAGCCACTGCCTGCACCACCACATCTGGGAAGGATCGTTCCCAACAATCCCTAATTAATCTGTTACACCAATGGACTTATCTATTGCTGGCATCTGGCAAGGTGCTAATCAAAGCCCTAAGAGGAATGTCCACATTTGACCATTTTTAAAATCATTCTTGGCCACTCTGAAACAGAACCACAAGCGGCTGCTACTGCGGTTTTTCAATTCCATTAATTACCTGTACCAACTGAAAGCCATTGCAGATGGTGTCCAACGAGCCTGCTTGGACCCCTGTTTTCCTGGGCCCTGTTTTCTTTCTAACTTGTATGAATTGGAGGGGGCTTTTCTTCTGAGTCACTTCTATCTCCTGGGCAGAGAAGGGAGCCTCTAGATCACCCTTAGATGCCATGTTTTGTTCTTCTGAGTCATATTGTGTCAACAGTATCATATTTTCTAGCAATGTTGTGCTATCAAAGTCTCTGTGCTGTTCCCCTAGGAGGTCTGTGGGTGAGAGGTCTAAACTCAGAAGGGGCTCCTTCCTACATTCCCTACTGTGTGCCATGATTTGGGACTCCCCTTGTCTCAAAGTTTTCTCCTGGTCTTCAGAGTTGGAAATCCACTTGTTTGCCTCATCTCTGGGCATAACCAATTCACTGCACTTTGTACTCTCTCTCAGAGGGTTCTGCCCACAACCGTTTTCACCATGGAGTGACCTTTGACCGTTCACATACTTGTTCCCCCTGAGTGGAGAGGCATCCTGCACAATCATTTGGAAGTTGTCACTGGGGTGGGCACTTCTGTCCGAGAGCAGTGGGATTTTCTGTTCACTAACAGAATTAGCAGAAAAAAATGCCCTATTTTGCTCTGATGTATGAATGTCTTCGGCAGAGGACAGGCTTCTAATTTGTGGCTGCTCTCCACTTCCAAGGCCTGGCTTTTCTTCTTTCTCGGCTGGGGGGCTGCATAAGCCAGAGTCGTCCTCTTCTGAAGTTTGAGAATTGGTACCCCATCTGCACTTGCTGGCCTTCGGGACAGCATCTGACGAATCGGAAGGCTCGACAAAAGAACTTTCGCTTTTGTTTGCATAATCCATAAAATTG